GTGTGTGTGTGTGTGTGTGTGTGTGTGTGTGTGTGTGTGTGTGTGTGCTCGTGTGCACCTGCCCACCAGCTCTTGCGCCCGGTGGCCCGTTCCCTGCTTCCCCTGACCACCAACAGAGCCTGTCTGGGCACCCAGCACAGTCCCACAAACGTTCTTGTTGGCGAGAAGTAAATGCAGCCACACACAGGCCCAGGGCCTCTGACGTGGGAGGGGGCTTCCTTACCCAGTGTCCGTCAAGGCTTGCTAGGACGTCCTCTCCTGACTTAATCTTCCCAGAGATCTGGTTAAGGCCAGAGCTGCCTCCGAAGAAAGGCTGCAGAGAACAGACGGGCCTGGTCAGAGCCTGCTTTGGGGTTAGGGCTTGGGGCCCATGGAGCCAGAGCCTGCAGGGTGTGGGGGGCAGGGTGGGCCACCACGGCTGGAGAGCTCTGGAAGGGCACCTCTACACCACCTCCCCCCTCCCCACCCAGGCCGCCATCCAGGGGGCTGGGGGGTTCTCACGGACAAGTGGGGAGACCTGGGGGCTCCTTGAAGCTCGGTCACTCGTGCTCTGTGTGACCTTGGGTAGAGGCTTCCCCTTCCAGGCCCTTAATATCCTCCACTATCTAATGGGGAGTCAGAGCTGCCAATCTCTTCTCCCAGAATTGTTTGTGGGACCGAGGGGGAAAAGGTTCTGGGAGGCAGCAAGGAGGGCAGGGGATGCCTCAAGAGGCCCTCCCCCTCCACGTGGGAAGAGGGCCGGCGGCACTGACCTTCCGGGCTGGGGGGAAGGGTTAAGGGTTAAGGGAGCTTAGAAGTCACTGGGGCCAAGGGCCCTCATCTTACACAGGAGGAAACTGAGGCCTGACTCGGGCTCACAAAGCTATTAAGGTCCAGAGCTCTGCCTCCTGCGTCAGGCAGCCCCTCATCACCATCTGCCAGCCCTGCCCCAAGGTACTAGGTGACTCTGGGCAGTTTCCTTGCTAGGGGCTAGGGCTCCATTTCCTCCTATTCTCTAAGGCCCCTTCCAGCTCTGACACTCCATGTTCTCTGTTCTAAGGCCCCTCCCAGCTC